ATATCAACCAGCATTTTAACCTTTAATTTTCTGGTTGGAATATTCTTCTGAGATGTGCCCCACTCTTCAAAACTTGGCACATGTACATAGTCCTGTGTTTATGGGCTGTTGAAAGCTAACCAGGCAGGATGGCTATTATGGTTCAGTATATGTATAAGGCTTAGTCCCCAATGCAGCCATGTTCAGAGATGGGGCTTTGGGAAAGTTATGAGATCACGAGGACTCTGATTCATCTATTTATCAGTGGGTTAATCCATTGATGGATCCATAATTCAGTGAACCATTGGGAGGTATGGAAACTATAGGAGATGGGATCTACTTGGAAAAAGGAAGTCACTGGGGGAGGGGAGTATACCTGTAGAGGGGATTTCTTGTCCCTGACTCTTTTCTCACTCTCTCCGCCATACCCTTCCCAGCCATTTTGAAATGAGCAAATTTGATTGGCCATGCCCTTTCACCATGATGTTCTGCTTCACCATAAGCCCAGAAAAAAATGGAGCCAGCGCTAATGATGAACTGAAACCATGAGCCAAAATAAATCTTTCCTTCTTTGAGTTGCTTTTCTCAGGTATTTTGTCACAATGAAGAAAAGCTACATAATACAATGACTGTGAAAGACAAGAGCCAGGCCCGACCTCCCCCTTTCCTGGCAACCTCATCAGAGAAGGGACTAAAAAGGGCATTGGTTTCCTGAGCGAAGTAGGAGACAGAATTTCCCTTGCTCAGTAGAAGTTGCATAGAGGGGCATAGAAGGTGACTCTGTAAGACTTTACTTCTCCAATATCTCATACAGGTTAGGAAGATGCCCTCTTTCAGTCTGAAATAAGGTAAGCACCCCCCCCCCCATACACAACATAAAACCACTTAAGCATTAACATGCTAACTAGGTCTTAAAAGATGAGAAAAAGTGAAGTAGAAGGCAGAGTCCCATAGCAAGGGCTTCCAGGAAGAAGGGACAATATGTTGAGAAGGGCTAAGGGATGGAAGACCATGGCATTGGGAAGCTAGAGGACAATGAGAGGTTTATAGTGCTGGCTATAGGGAGGGGTAAAATTGGTGCCCTGAGTGTCAAGCTGGAAAAGGAAGTAGAGGCTTGGAGGACTTGACTGGTATATAGTATCACTTCCAGAGCAGTGAGATGAAAGCCAACCTCCTTGGTGCTGGGTGTCGAATCCTGACCACATGGGCACAGATTCCGCTCTCTGAGATTTATCCAGATGTTCCATAGTCTCAGCTCTCCCTTGCACCTCCTGGATGGGACCTCACAAATCTTCATCCTGAAATCCCAATCTTGGACACCCGAGTTGAACTTGTTAGAGTCCTGATCTAGTCTGGTATTTTTGTTTTTAGATCAGTATCTGTTGGTTTCATCATATGTGAAACTGAGACAGTGAGTGATCTATTCAAGTATTCTCAGCAAGAACTAGTCAGTAGCATATTTAGAAAACATAACACTAAAGAAACTCGACAGAAAGACAGTTCATGGATTTACTTCTTAGCAGAGAGATTAAATTCACATTTATATAAAAGAAAATCATTATATTGTCATTAGAAGATATATAAAGGTTCAGTAATTGTGATAAAATGAGATAATTACCTTTTAAGAGTTATATTTCAAATCATAATTTTATGGTTAAACATGCCATTTGGGATTGGCTTCATTGTAAACAGAAAAACAATAATGGGTCTTAATAAAGGCTCAGAAGAAAGGAGGTGAGCTGTGGGAGGGAATACACTGAATTTGGAGTCAAAAAACCTTGTTCATGCTCCAGTTCTGTCATTCTTTGGTTCTAAGTCCTTGCATAAGTCACTTAACATCTCTGAGCCTCATTTTCTTTTCTCTTTAAGGGGTGGGGACAATAGCAATACCTACAGGACAGGTTTGTTTTAGTACAAAATGTCATAACACATGTGAAGATGCTTTGTAACTTAGAACCATTTTACTAATTGTGATAATCACTGAAACAATACTTTGTTAAAACTCCACTGCTGAACAAAACACCATTATAGAAACGTCCAATAAATCAGTGCTATCAAACTTGACAACGATAATCCACGAACCAAGGAAATCTATAGCATTGTCATGGTATTTGAATTGTATTTGAATAATAATCATGTTATATTTCTTTCCTAGGGTATTTTTTGTATTACTCCCTATTAATGGCTGCTCTCTGTATTGTTGGACCTGAGAGATATTCCTCAAGAAGGGCCCATGATCACAGAGAAATACTGCAAGCTTCTTACCGATCCAGAAAGTCAAAAAGATTTTCAGCGACTGAAACCTCTGGGAACTCACACAATAACTACAACACGATGTTTGCCAAATTTATGGGAGCATAGAACTCTATTTCCTAGTATTGACTTTAGTTCTAAAGAATATGTACTGTGAATTTTTTGTATAGGCTTTTCTTAAAACAATAGTGACCACAACAAAACSAATAGCCACTCTGAGGACCAGTGTGCTAATAAAACTTTAGAGTAGAGAGCTGCAACCAATTCAGCTTTATCAAAATGATGAATAAATTCTAATTGCTATGTAAGCTCTTCTATTTGTTGCAAACATTTAATTTTCCTCTATCATTAGGTGAATTTGTAGTACTATTTGTAAATAACTTTTTCCAGAAAAGCAGGCTTTTTGTTGTTGTTGTTGGTAGCACAGAAGATAAAGAAATATCAGCTGTCTCCTACCGCTCAGACATTGCTCTGAGATGGTCTCCAACTCTACTGTTATGGAAAATAACCACAGAAGATGACAAACTTGATCATTGCTCAATACTTCATTGTTTTATAGATGAACATAAGACTCTTTTTACCTCAACCCACAACTCGATTAATATTACCAGCATATGAAGATGAATAACCCATCGTTCTTCATTAAACTAGGCAATGAACCAAGTTTTGATTTCTTTTGAACTAAAATATATATGCCAAGAACTGATTATATAGTTCATTAAAAAGTTGAGTAGTTGCACAGGAGACTTGTTTCTGTCTTAGAATTGCTTTGATCTGTTCTTCACTTGGTATTTTCTCTGGAATAGCCTTTTGTTTTCTAAACCTGACTTTTGCTTTTACGATATATCAAGTTAGTCAAGGAGGAATACATATCTACCTTCACTTCTTGCTACTCCTCTCCTAATCTTGCCTATTTTTTTTGACATTTTAGTGCCTTTATAAAATATACTTATATTTTTAAAATAAGAATCAGTGTTGCTGGCTGCAATGGAGCACACCTGTAATCCCAGAGATTTGGGAGGCTGAGACAGGACGATTGCAGGTTCAAGACCAGTCTCAGCATATTAGTGAGGCCCTAAGCAATTTAGCAAGAACCTATCTCAAAATTAAAAAAAAGGGGGGGGGCTAAGGATTAACTCAATGGTAAAGTCCCCCTGGGTTCAATCCCCATTACAAAAAAGAAAAAAGAATCCATGTAGAACCATGATAGTTTAAAGACAGTTTGCTTTTAGCAAGCTTAAAAGGACTTTAAAATTATCCTGATATATGTAAACTTCTTGATATGATAAACTGAAAAGGCATATCATATATGGTCAGGGAAGCTAATCAATTTATAAAACTAAACATTTCTCCTATTTTTTTAAGGTTCCAAAATGGTACATGAAAGTAAGTATTGCCTCATCCTGCTATTGAATTTGTACTATTGGATGGTTTTAGTCTAATCTGATGTGTGTATGTGGTGTATATATGTCTATGCGTGTGTGTGTGTTAAGGTAGTGTTTTTGTACTTTTTCTTTTCACATCTTTATTAGTGCATTTTAGTTCTACATAACAGTGGGACTTATTGTTACATATTCATACATGCACACAATATAACAATATAATTTGACCAAAATCACTCCCCACCACTTCACCCTTCCCCATCTCTTCCTCCCTAATCTTCCCACCTTTCCTCTTCTAATCCCTCTTTGGTTTTCATGAGATTCCCACCCCAATCCCACCTTTCTTTTCCTTTTTCTTTTTCAGTTTCCACATAGGAAAATACATGGTTCTTGACCTTCTGAGTTTGGCTTATTTCCTTTAACAAAAAGGGTCTCAATATTCCTGATTACTATACATCATCCAGGTGTATTTCTGTTGTTACTGTGTTTTTTTAAGTGTTAAAGGGCAGCTGGTGTTACAGGTATTGGAAACTATGAAATGAATGAGAAGGTACTAGGTGTTCATGATATGGATAAATGGTGAGACTCAGCATTCTGAATAAAGTTAAATTGGATGTGTGAGAATTCAGAAAGTAGTGTGTGTTTCCTGTTGAGTTTTTGCTCAACTGTGGGTCAGGTCTCCATTGGTGATTTTCTTCCCCCTAAAGGAGACAACTGACTACTAAATAAGCAGGTTTCTGAGCATATTTGTTACATAGGCCTTTCTTTGAAACAATAATTTTGCCAAACATCAGAATATGGTTTTACTTAGTTTTCTTTAGGATGATAGGTAGAAACTTTAACAACCAGAATTGAAGTGTTATTCATTATAGCCTAATTTCTTCTTCACATATATTGAGGATTATGCTTGATCTAGAATTCCGGGGGTGTGGAGAAGTTCCCACAAAAGACCCATGGGTGAGTACTAGCCAGTTGTCCCATTTTGCTCATGAATGAAGTGACTTTTACAGTGCATAACAGGTTGTTGTTTTTTTTTTTAATTTTGTATTCCTTCTCCATATTTTTTTTCTTTAGGTAAAGTTCAAGTTTGCCCCCCAAACTGTGAAACTTTACTGTTTCACCTACCCTGAACCCTCTGAAGATCAACACGTATTCCTGCACATAGGAACATGCAATAAACGCATCTTTAACCAGTGAAGAAAACTAATCGTTAAAAATAAACTCACACTCAGTTCTTCTCTGTTATTAGGGACCCAGGAAAGAGGTAGCAGGGACTGAGCTCCAGGGTTCTCTAGGGGGACAGCTGGACTACTCGGCCCCACCTGGGAGGATGCTTTTGTTTACATCTCAGGTTGCCGCCCGACGATTGGTGGCTGGTCTGGAAGGGAGGGTCCGCAGGAAACGCGACACTGGGGATGCTGCCCCCTATCACATGATGGAAATTTCCACTCTTTAGAAAGGCGAAAAGAAAAGAAGGAAGGGTCTTTCAATCCACCCTTTTCCGATACTTCCCCTGGATTCCAATCGGAAGAGGGTAGAAAAAGAGGCGGGTGAGTGAAATTTTGCACATTTTCTGTTAAACTTGGAGCTTGTTGGTGTGTAAACTTGTGGTTGGGTACTAGCCTGGACGGGCTGGTGTGTTAGCACCGGGACACGCACACGTGTGCAGCCCTGTCTTTTAGCCGTCTGGGGCTTAAGTTAGGCGGTGTGGCTCTTCGCAAGTTGTGGATAGTTCCCAGTTCTTCTTACTTTCCAAACGACCACACTCTGGGTGGGCTATTGCAGGCTAATGACTGGACTGACTTGAAATAAAGTCAACCCCGCACGCGGAAGGAAGGAGATTGCCTGGAAAGGCTCCCGCGGGACTCGCTTTCCAAAGGGAGGTGATTATGCCAAGGTAGCCTATGGGGCTGGGGTGGGGGTGGGGATGGGGCATCCCGTGCCTGCCCGGGCCGGGGATTCCCTTGGCACTGGGGTTTAGAGTCGGCTGTATGGGGATCGCCTTCCACTGCTGTGGCCACGCAGCTGAGGGGTCCCACCGCGCTAGGGGAGCGGTTTCGCGTCCCCTCTGGGTATTGCCGGCTAGGTGTTACCCGAGTCCTTGGACCCGTGCCGGTGTCCTCAGGATGGGGACACCCGGTGCACAGTTTAAAATAGACCCGGCGTCCCTAACAGCTGGGGCGCCCCGATGGCCAGTGTGATTCTCCGGGTGTGGGGGTCCTAGCCTGGGGAACTTCCCAGAGTCTCTCTTGCCGTAGAGGAAGGCTAAGCGGTTCTGGGTCCGGGGACTCATTTTGGGATGGTAGGAGGGTTAGCCGCAGAGCAGCACCCCCGGATTTGGGAGCCTGTTGCGCGCTGGAGCCAAGGGGAGGGGCGAGGCAGAAATGCCGAGTCCAAGGCTGCTGGGCTCGAGGGGGCGTCCGGGGGATGAAGAGAAGAGGTGAGAAGTCCAGGGAGGAGGGGGAGAAGTGGTAAGAGGCCAGATCGGCGGGAACAAGGGCAGAAAGGAAAGCAGAGCCAGGAGTAGCGAATGGAGGAAGGAGGGAAGGAATGGAATGAAGGAAGGGAGCTGGTCTCAGGAAGCCCCAGGAAAGGTGAGCAGGGAGCACCACCAGCTCGGGGAGAGGCGGGAGGTGAGCGCGGCAAACAGACAGGTGTGCTCTGAGGGCAGTGGCAAAAAGCGAGCCTTTGTCTACTGTTGGTACAGGTGGACGCTGCACCCTGGCCCCCTGGCCCAGGCGCGAGATGGGGGTTGAGGGAGGAGCGAATCTTCCTGCAACTCGTCCTCATCCGTCTGGGAGAGGTGGACAGAAAGCCCCCTTCTATATACGCCCCAGGGCCAGCTCAGGAGATGCGCTCCTGGCTGTTGGGTTGATTGGAGGAAGAGGGGTGAACTAAGTTGGAAACTCAGGGGAGGGAAACCTGGTCATGGTTATGTCAGGGTGTCTGCAGTGGACTTGAGAAACTAGACTGAGGCCTGGAGATCCCAAGCCCCAGACCATGATAGACCCTTTAAGGGAGGACAGTTGGAGCTTGAAATCTAATTCTCAGAGCAAAAGGTACATCACCCTACGTGTCTGGGGTGAGGAGGGGAGGGGAACTTAAATAGAAAATGAAGCGTAGAAGCCACCCTGGAATAGCCAGGGCCTGGCACTTCTCACAGCCAACCCCCTTCGCTGTGTCCCATCCCCCAAAAGGGCTGGATCAATTCCCCTGGTTATCCACGTGGAAGCTCAGCTTCTGGCCCAAAGAGGAAGTAGGAACCCACCAGGACTTAAATTTGGATCGCTTCCTTCCCCATTTGCCCATTTGCTGGTGATTGTTTGTTTGTTGTAGAGCCATCCTTATTTGCTTCGGAGGGCTCAAACACGATCATTATGAGTAGATTGCCTTATGTTGTAAAAAGAACATCTTACACCTGTGTCACAATTTCTAGGGCCTAGAAGCTATGTGGTTAGGTTTTGCTTCAATTGCCTTTTTGTGGACTTTCATTTTGGGGGGATTGTGGGGTGAGGAAATCAGCCTCTAATTGTTGTTGTTGTTGTTCCCACTTTTAAAAAATAGTAAAATTGTTAGACTTTCTCATGCAACACAAGAATTGTGGGGGTGGGAAGGGAGGAGAGAGAGACTCAAATTTTAACAAGTGAATCTACAGAAAATTTATGTTTTTGATAAAAATCTGTAACGATAGAGACACTGAAGAGAATATGTAATCTTCCCAAACTGAAAGTACCATATGTGTTCAGAGACCGGAAACTTTTACTGGGATAATTTGTCACAAAACAATAAAAAGCTAGGAGACTTGTGTGAAGGGAAAAAGAATTTGCTTCTGAAGGCTGCTGCCATAGGAGAGCTGGAGGGCAGACTTTACTAGATTAATGGTGGTAATGGCTCACACATACATGGTAATTAGGTTTCTTCTTGTTACCACTTCCTTTGTATTACTATTTGACCAGCTTATGAGAGAGGGTCTATGATTGCACTATTTTGCAGATAAGGAAATGGAGGTATAGAAATKCGAGAAACAAATGTTTCTGGAAATTTTATTTGGGCATTAATTGTTCTTAAATGTAAAGGAATAAATCTCTTTGACTTTATAATTTATCATGGGCACAATTGGACAAGTAACTTCTAGGGATCACCCTAGAAGCTGACTTCTTGGTATGTTACAGACTAATTCAATCCTAAGAGAGGCAAAGATGTGATCTTGGAGTTTAACAATAAATGACATTTGAGAAATGGATAGTATACCCACGTATCTAAACCTTTGTGGTTTTATGTGAGCTAGTGGAACACTAAGGACAAGCACAATAAGCAGCCACTTGTGAACTTGGGTGTTTTCTTTTTTTATGGCATTGTCTTTGTTCATTTCAGTAGTGTTTTTCAGGCATCTGTGTATCAATTCTTTTTTCCTCCTTATTCCATTTTTAAAAACGTAATCCCCCTTTTATTTTTGCTTTTTACATATCCAAAGTGATGATTTCTACTTTAAAAAGCCCAAAGGTTTGATGTCTAATTGATATTCTTGATGGACATCAAAATATTAATATATTAAGATAATAATACAGCCTCTAAAAATGTGCTTCCATCTACCCTATAGGAAGGACTGGGGTGGAAGAGGGGTGACACTCAAGAAAGGAGAGGAAGATCTTTCAAGAGCCAGGCTTTGTGCTATTAAACTCTTTGCACATGTGAATCTCATCTAATCTTCACATAGTACTTTCTGCTATAGGTATTTGTTATCTCCATGTTATAGAGCAGGTGTTGCAAGCTCAGAGTAGTTAAGGAAGGGAGCCAAGAGTCACACAACTAGGAAGTGACATTAGAACCAGTGTCATTAGAACCAAGTCTGCTCAAATCAAAGCTCCTGCTTATCACAGTAAAGGTGGCAGAAAAATACAGATAATTGGGAGGGAGAACAACAACTTAAGAAAATAAGAGGGTTAGAAATGTTGTTACACAACATAGGATTTGAGCAATGGGAGAAATGGAGAAAAATCCTTTTCATGTGACCTGCCAATCTTCCTCTGGTCTTCCTCCTGCTATTTATATAATGACCTAATTCCACTCATTCATTCCGAGAATAATCATTGAACATCATTATCTTCCAGGAAACAGCCCTAACACCTAGCATGGTGCTGGGATAACACTAGGTGCTCAAGAAATATTTGTTGAACTATGAAGTAGACTAGTAGAAGAAAGAATAAACAAGTAAACAGTTGCTCTACATAATGATAAAGACCAGGGAAAATTCAGATTTGAGCACTTTACCATAAAAATCTAACTTTATAATTGGTCAGGGAATAATTCCAGAATTATTTGAATCATTGCCTCAGGCAGGTTTTGAGGCAGAAATAATAGACAAAGAATTGGAGAAAGTGGGAAGAGGACCCTCAATGAAGAGACCTCCCTGAACAAAGAAAGAATGTCAGAGACACTTTAGGAATTTAGGAGTTCAGTACTCAGGAGTAGAGAATGGGGTTGAGTATGGTCAGGGAGGTGGGCATTGTCTCTGCAAATGTCCCTTTGATCTGCCCTTCCCTTGGATTTTGGAAGTGACCTGTGCTAACAAAACAGAATATTTAAATACAGGGATAGCAATACATTTTATCATTTCATCATTTTATTATGGCCTCATAACAATATGTAGATTTTTAGACTCCACATAATGTTAGAATTTTTAAACCTATGCTCAGATGGGAAGATTAGGCTTTGTTGTCTACTATGTGGAAATGCCAAATTATTTTTCTTATTATTGAGGGTATATTCTACTCTAGTGTGGATACAGTCTACACAACACAGAAAAGATGTCCAAACAAAGTTATTCTGTTTTTCTGGGGGACTACTGGAGGTGTTTTCATTCCTGATTTTAGTTTCTTAGTGGCTTTATATTTTAGTGTGTTATAGAAAAGTCAGGAAGTAAGACTGTAACAGTGAAGAACATTACCCGCCTATCTCCACAGTAGAGTGTTTATGCCAGTTAAGATTTTTGCCTTTTCATAACTTACTTTGAAAATTTAACTCCCAGTGTCTCTTCTTTTTTAAAGGATATTTTATATACCATTTTGCATTATAGGCCCAGAGGTCTGTGGGAGTCTTTACCACATCCACACTTATAAAACACCCTTGATCAGAATGTTATTAGGAAGGAAATTCTGAGAATAAATGATATCTACAGATTACTCAAAACATAATTTCAGTTAGTAGATTAAATACTCCACMTATTTTAGCATTAAATCCTTGGGCAGATATCTTTATATTTCTGAGCTTCAGTTTACTCATCTGCAAAACCAGAATCATAATGCCATCCGCCTTGTGGGATTTTGAGGATTAAATGCATTATCACATGTAAATGTTTAGACGAAGTCCAGTGCATAAGAGGCACTCACTACATACTTATTGTTATTACTTCTGCCACCCAAAGCATTATTTGCAATGTTAACAACAGCTGTCTACATCAAATGTTTTTGATAGTATATTTTCCTCTGTCATAACTAAAATGAAGGAAATAAGAGAGGAAGTGAAAAAAAGGACTAAATAATACTCATGA